TGATCATACGAGATATCATAAGAGATATTAAATATATGTATTCACACATTTGTGTTGGAAACACTTAATTTTCTATATAATATTTATTAATTGATATTATTTATTATTGTGGGTAATTGTCATTTATTGCTACTGTATTTTATATTGCAAATTTATTATTTTCATAAGATATTTTATAAATTTTAATTACATTTTAATAATATGATAATTCTATATTAGAATTTCGCGGATGCATTTTGGACCACGTTTGATTGGCTGTCCTATCATGCTGACGTCATACGGCTGCCATTATGCGCAATGGTACACCTATCTTCTTACATCATGATACTATATACGCTATAATTCTCCATCTAGTAGGAACCAAAATGGCGGATGAGAATACCTACATATCTAGTGCCTTAGTAAAACCGGTTGTTGGCGAGGAGCGATGAAGGAAGAGGAGAGCATGATGATCTCTACCAACAGTAGCTGTCTGAGCGCTACTGCGCGCAAATGACATCATCATTGCTCCTCCTTGCCGCTCGCCCTTCTTTGCATTTGCCCCTCTTGCCACTCGTCCCTCTTTACGTATGAGGTAACCTTCTCTCTATAGATCTTGGGGACGTGCAACTTAATGAGATTGTCAAGTATTTACTATCGTCTCATGACGCATTGCACCGTCCCTGCCTGTCCGTTGTATCGGACTCGTAAGTAGCAAACTATTTTCAATTATAACTCGAAAACTAAGCTTCAAACAAAATTTTGTAAAAGGAAAAATTGTCTCAGAATTTACTCAAAAATATGGCATTGCAAGGACATCAGGTTATTTTGAATCACCCTGTATATTGATTATTTACATAAATTTAATTAACTCTTTACAAACTGAAATGCGCCGTGCTGCTCAAGATGCGATCACGCAAAGAAAGCATTCGGATTATTTTATCTCTTTCTGTTGTAGACTTTCTTCACTGAAGTCTATACATGTTTATACTCATATGTATGCTCTATACATGTGTATAAAAAAATAAAGGCTTCAATAAGCCTGCGAAGAAAAGAGACAAAACAATCCCGCTATCTTTCCTTGTCTGATCGCTCGCTTATATTGCCCGTATCATGGCTCTTACATACAGGGGTTCTTTGTGTATTATACAATGTAGTAAAAATTACAAAAGTGAGCAAATTTATTAGGTTATTGACCAATAAGATCATTGATTCTTTAATAGTTTTTTATAATAAAAGTTTATAAATATAAAAGTTTCTATAAGTTTACTAAAGTATATTTACTATTTTACAAAGCCTTTTTTTATATATGCATGTGTAAAGTATGCATATGAATTTTTGTAAAATATGCAAGTTGATTGGTTATACATTTCTTAGACCGAGATCTCGGACCGATTTCTAGCATCGTGGACATTGGCCCTTGAGAAATAGTATTGACTTGAGAAATAGTATTTTTGTGTTAAAAACACTTTTTATTTAATAATTTTAATTAGACATTTGAAGTAATTTAGAAGTAATTAATGATGTCATTGCATCGTCACCGCCAATAAAAAACGGAATAATATAAGAAATCGGTTCGGCAGGCAACGTGATAAAAAGAAAATTCTAGAACAATGCTTGGAATTAATTAAACATTTCAACCGATTTCTGTGGTTGACGCATCCTTTCCTCTGGCCGGTATTCATAGTCCGTTCTTATATTCAAGATCGTCTTAAGCACGAACTTATATTCGCTCTCTTCGTCAGACACAATCTATGTGTGACGAAGAGAGCGAATATAAGTTCGTGCTTAAGACGATTTTGAATATAAGAACGGACTATGAATACCGCCCTAAGAAATAGAGGGACTGAGTCTAAGGCCGGTATTCATAGTTGTTTCTTATATTTAAGATCGTCTTAAGT